GATAAGGCCTTGTCCTCTTCCGTGAGAAGGTCATACTCTTCACGGATGTCAGATCGGAACCTTTTAGTGGGTTTATACCGTGTTCGGTCTGACCTCACTCTTGATGTTACCTCTCTGATGTCCACGGGTCCGCCATGCATGTACCGAGGCATGGAGAAAGAACCTGTGTTACTGCACAGTTTCTGTTCTTCTGTGAGAAGGACCCAGTCCTTCTAATCTACGACCAAGTCACCTTCCTCATCAGAGTAATACCTTGTGTTTTCTGACTCGGCATCGCTCTCCGGTTCTGGTGAACCAGAAGTGTGAGGAGGAGCGGACGGTTGTCCGGGGTCGTCTGGGACCAGTTCTTCTTCAGTGTCTTCTTCATCTTGTTGTAACGGAAGAATGGGTCCCTGTGGATGTGCCTTCGGTTTAGGTTTTGGTGTCGGCACCTGTGAAGGGGATTTCTGTTTGTGCGGCGAAACTTTCCTTTCCGATGAAGACCTTGGCGACACATCACCCCCCAGACGCCGAGGAGACGGAACGCGAGGAGGCGGATGCACGCGAGGCTTAGCCCGAGCAGGAGCCACGGGCTCATCGGAGGAAACGGCCGGTAGTCGCGGTGGAGGTATGGGAGGAGGAGGACGCGACGGCGGCGTGCCGGGAGGCATCGGCTGATCTGGTTCCGGCATAGAAACATCGTCAGATGTGATCCGTGAGCGATTAGTGCTCATTGGTTCTGACGGGTCTGACGGCGAAACCTCTTCGTCCGACATGATTACATCCGGCGGTGTTCGCACGGACGGTGAAGTCTTGCCGCCTGTCATCTGGAATAGCACCCCCGAGAAGGTTGATGGGTGTACCTTGTTCCAGGAAACCTGGTGCGGCAAGCAACACGTCATAGTCGAATTGGGCTTCTTCTTGTTCCAGAAGACAAGAACGCCATCAGTTACACTGGTGAGTGCTTTGACTGTTCCAAATGTACCTCTGTATAGAGTACACTGTTCGAAACCAGACCCTGGTAAGAGTCTTGATCTAAGGCGAGTAATGTCTGACACCAAGGCATCAAGGGACGGTGATGGTTTGGAATGATGCAATGGTAATTCAGTTTTACTCGATAAAGAATTTACTCTAGCAACAAGTGATCTGATTTTCGGATCTTGCAGGAGTTTTGAATCCTTGAGAGGATTTGTTGTCAAAAGAGAATACTCCTGATCAAGAAGTTCCGAAAGTCCCTGGAGGCATTCATCTCCAGAGTATTCTAGTATGTCTGTGACTAAAGACAGATGAGATGCATACGCATCTCGTTTCAGGAATCTTGCCAAACACGAGGCAAAGGTCTCACAGAATTCATAAGGATACACTTGTGCGAGTTTCGTTTTAAGACCGTAGCCTTGAATACCCTTTTCGTCTCCTGGTGGAGATGTTGGAGATTTCGTTTTGGCAGAATGCCTCTGGAGAGGAATTAAAACTTGCGGTGGCAAGTTGTGCATAAAAATCGAGGATTTCGATTCATAGTATCCTTTTGGATCTTTCATGCCATAGGCCTGTAGGTTACAGACCTCATAGCTGATCTTATGATTAGAAAACAGGCGTTTTGCTTCTGGTGAAGACCAGAGCCTGCTGTAGTATGGGTTCTCAAGAACAAAGTAACGTCCGAGCTTCTTTTGGTGGTCTGCGACCGATTCACAGAATTTTAAAACAGAAAGTCTCTTGGCAGAGCCTTTCTTCCACTGTGAGTACCAGCTAGACCACTGAGAATGGTCCGGTGACATAACAATAATAGTAGGTTCTTGTTCCTTGATGATCCTAAGAAGATTGGAGCGACCTTGCGGTTGCTCAAGATCTAGACCGCTACGCAAATCGACTGGCTGACCTACTCGCAGACCTGACAGGGCAGCTTTGTGACTCATGCGGGGAGATCCGCCGTAGAGTTCTAGGAAGTCAATCTTCCCAGTGCTGGTGACCTGCCAGTGACACTCTTGATGTGGAATGGTTAGGTCTGTCGACTGCAGGGAGGCATCGAAGGTGACCATGCAACTTGCGTGGTCAGAACCTTCTGACGTCAGAGTTTCCTCATCAGGCGCGAGAGGAATCTCCACATCAGATGTTATGTCATAATTTTTCCTCAGTTTTGAGATATTAACGCGGACGATGCGTGTTCCAAGATCCACACCTACCATGGATCCTCCGAGTTCGGAGATCACCTTTCCTTTTAGCCAAGATCCATGTTTGGACCCAGTGGATCCAATCTTAGACTTATCTTCTGACCAGTAGAAAACCTTATCTCCCAAAGAGAAAGGTCCTTGGGTCATTGACAGTCTGGCTGCAAGATCTCTACGCAGATCATCAGATTGGCGTGCCTCTTGGTAAGCCCTGTTGGCAAGCTCCTTAATGGCTCTCGCAGTGACTTCCGTATCAGTTGGATTACCTGTCAACTGATTGGGATCAGCGTTCTCTGGTGTTATAACATCTCGAGGACGCCTTCCAAAGGCCATTTCTAAAGGAGTAACTCCTCCGTAGGTAATCGAAGAGTTTCTTGCCAAACATGCTTGGCGAACGAGGTTGCCATACTTCATGGTGATTCCGTTATACTGCGGGTCACCATCCTTCAGGATCTGAAGTATGAGCTTAATCTGATGCTTCAGCAATCTTACAGCAGCTTCGGCCCTGTTGGGCCATGGTGTTCCAGGTCCTGTTGCCACAGGCTTGATATTCTGCCGATTGTAATAAGCCTCCATTTTTGGAGTCATGAATGCTTGATCTCCAACTACAACCTTTGGGTTGATCTGAAATTTCTCAAAGTAGTCATTCATAATCGACATTGTAGTATGTTCTTCTTTATCCTGGACTACTTCGGCAGTCAACAAGTTTGTTGCTCCATCATAGAGAATAAGGAATACTAAGCGACTATCCTTGCCGGGAATTGGAAGCTCACCGTGATCTACGAAGGTGAGATCACCGAAAGTCTCTGATCTTAAACCAGAAATCTTCGCTCTTGAAGGAGCTCTCACGTGTTCCTGACAGGCTGAACACTTTTTGACCAGTTGGTCATATAGCTCATATATCTCCTTTGGGATCTGTAAGGCTTTCGTGCGTCGCTTGAACTGATCCGTACTCATATGACGGTGCTTAAGGTGAAGCTTATAGAGTTCTACAGGGTCCTTAAGCTTCTCATGAATCCTGCGAAGAGCAATGGGAAGAGATGGCGATGGTTCTGCGACAATCTCTTCACCTGTAGGTGAGTCTGTACCAGGAGCCGGGTATTCTCTTGACTCAAGTGGTCTTACCTCCGTCCCGTCATCAGCTCCTGGGACCTTAGACTTCTCTTCAACAGGAGATTTAACCGCATATTTGCGGGATTTCTTCAGAAGGTTTTTGAGACCGGAGTCTTTAGCAGGTGGGACCTCAGTCTTTCTTCTTCTGGAGGTTCACAGAGGATTCATGGTCCAGATGATGATTCTGGTGGATCAGGTTTCTTGGCAGATGATTCTGCCGGATCAGATGGAAGAGGCTTCTTTTTACCTGAAATCCTCTTCGGTGGTGGATCAGCTGCTCCCTCAGGTGCTTTGTCGCAACCCTTGAGGTACGTGTGAGCCCTTTTCTGTCCGGCACAGGCTGGACAGCGACCTTCCGGTATCCTAGTATAAGGCTTATTGGCTCCTAGAGCAGTCTCCGTCGCACTGAACGACGTACCTGACTTAGGGAGATACTTCCTGGTGGAAGTAAAGCCTAGAAGGTCCAATACCAAATGGTTATTGGTACTAATCGGAAGAGGGGTTTTATACAAACCGAAAGCTTCACACGTTGCTAGGTCAGCTGTGGACTACACTCGAGGGTCATTCTTAAATTCCTCATCTGTTCGATGGAAAACAAAATGGGGACTCTTCCCTGATCCAAAACTTCTATGGTTGTATCTCTTCTTGGAGTTGTGTTAAACCATAGAGTTACACGCTCCTTGATAAGAGCTGTTTCACTATCTGCGAAAGAGAACTTCGTGTTCGAAGGTGAAAAAGTGAAATCAATCATGCCTGGGGCATGTTGCTTCACGGCCTTGATAAGCCTGTTCACCGCATAGCGGGAACCCATAGCCCTAGTACAACCTGAGTCAAGTATGACAAAGGTAGGGCTCTTATCAAGATTGATCCGCTCTGTGAGAGCAGATAGGACGGTGTGCTGCAACGGAAACACTGCTGTTGCAGTCTCCACACCTTGCCCCTCGGATGGTTCAGAGACCTGGGGCACGTAACTCACTGATGAGTTGTACACGGGTTCTTGGTGCGCGCTCGGATCTGTGCCTCTACCTGATGATCCTGCTTGATTTCTTCTCTTCTTTCTCCGTGTTTTTCTTCGTGAGGCTTGTGATGCATAGTATGTATAAGACGTTTGATCGTCATAAGCGGCATAATTCCAACTGGAGTCAGTATAATAACTGTCCTCATACCATGAATCCCAGCTCGGTGCGGTGGAACTTTCATAGGCCTGTGGAGATCCAGTTTGGTCTCCTTGTAAGGAGGCAGACTTAGCTGTATCCTTACCTTTGCCTTTTGCCTTTGCGCCTTTGAAGGAGCTTCCTTTATCTCCTTTGTCCTTTCCTTTTCCTTTGCCTTTTCCACCTTTCCCTTTTTCCTTTCCTTTACCTTTACCGAAATA